TTTTATTTTATGTGTATGAGTGCATTGTCTGCATGTATATGAGTGCACCTGTGTCATGCAATGCCTCAAAGGTACCAAGAGGGTTTTGGATTCCCCTGGAACTGGAGTTAAGGAGAGTTTGTAGCCACCATGTGGGTGCTGGGAATCGAACCCGGGTCCTCTGCAAGAGCAGTTAGTGCTCTTAACCACTGAGCCATCTCTCCAGCCCTATTTTTCTTTTTTAAACAAATATACATAAGTTAGCTATAAATGGTTTGACTGAACAGCCTTTCTACTGTTTTTTGTAAAGCAGTAGTGATAGAGTTGAAATAAGTGTTAAAGTTTTGTGGAAAATGTATGTTTTTTTTTTTTTTTCGGTCTTTTTTGACACAGGGTCTCCCTGTAGCCCCAGCTGGCCTGGAACTCACTATGTAGACCAGGCTGGCCTTGAACTCACAGAGATCCGCCTGCCTCTGCCTCCCAAGTGCTGGGACTACAGGCGTGTGCCACCACGCCCAGAAAAAGTAGTTTTAAAGGCATTGATGAGGAAGTATTCTGAAATCATCTGTTCCCACTAATGAGAGTCATGACACTGTAAACTCTGAGAGCTCGAACAGTATCAGTTCTTTAGTTTCGTCAGGATATTCAGGGGCTGGAGAGATGGCTTAGCGGTTAAGACCACTGGCTGCTCTAGTAGAGGACTTGAGTTTGGTTCCTAGCACCCACATGGCGGCTGACAACCGTCCATAACTCCAGTTCCAGGAAGTTTGGCACCCTCTTCTGACCCCTGTGGGCATTGCACAACATGAGTGCACTTACATACATGAAGATAATATACTCATGCATAAAGTTGAAAAAATTTGAGATATTCACAGTAAATATATGGATCTACATGGGAAGATGTGAAGTAAAGCCAATCTGGATTTTCAGTGTGTGTGAAAATTTTAAACATAAGTAAGGTTTCAAAGTAAGGTTGAAAGACTTGCGGCAAGCGCCTTAACCCACAGCATCTGATGGGTTCTGCCATTAACGTGCTATCTTAGACTTTTTATGTGTCTGCCTGTTCATTAATGAGTTTTATTTTCAGTTCATTAAAAATATTCTTCTGTATTGTTATGCTGGGGAGATGGCTCAGCAGGTAAAGGCATTTGCCTCCAGGCTTCACGATCTGAGTTCCATCCCTTGAGAATCATGTGGTGGAAGAAGGGAACCAACTCCCACAAGTTTGGTCTGATCTACACACACATCATGGCACAGTGCACCCCCCCCCACATACATACACAAACACAATAAATGAAATATACTAAAAACAGTTTGAATTACAAGAAGTTTTCGGTACTGTCGTGAAGACTGATTTTTGTGCAGGAGCTACAGTTTGGATTGGTGAAGGAAAGGTGACGAACCAATTTCGGGCTTCCTGTATAGGTCCATTCATGACCTTGTATGATGCCTGGTGTTAATTGTGATTTCTTCAGGATGCTTCTGGGGTTCATCTGACAGGGCTTCCTTTATTGCCAAGTATTATGAGGGCATTGGTGTGGATTGTGTGTTACTGTTAACTTTCTACTTGGCGCTTATATCATTTCATATGTACCTTTGTCTCTCTTGCTTTTCCTGTCCAGGAGTCGCCCATCGGAGCCAGAGCAGTGAAGGAGTCAGTTCCCTTAGCAGCTCACCTTCTAATAGCCTTGAGACACAGTCTCAGTCCCTGTCACGTTCCCAGAGCATGGACATCGATGGTGTCTCTTGTGAGAAAAGGTAACCCGGAGCCAGCATTTACTTCTTGTAGTCTCTGGTGCATTAGTCTGAAACCCATACCAGGCCTGGTCACGTTAAAGCCAGATTTCATTCTCTTTTTTTCGCCTTTTTGAGACAGGGTCTCTCTGTAGCCCCAGCTGCCCTAAAACTCACCTGTGTAGACCAGGCTGGCCTCGAACTCACAGAGATCTGCCTGCCTTTGCCTCCCAAGTGCTGGGATTAAAGGCTTGAGCTACCATGCCTGGCAAGATTGCATTCTTGAAAGGTTTTTCTACTGCTCTTTATGTATTTGTTGGAGCCAGATGTCTTTTGTGGGCTGGAGAGATGGCTCAGCAGTTGAGGGCATGTGCTGCTCCTCCAGATGTCATTTATGAAATGTAAAATATGAAAAAAATAAAGACCTAAAGACTAAAATATGAGATACAATTAGGAAAAATAACAGACATGTCATACATGTGAATAAATCCCACCATGTAAACAATAATACCTGTGTGTGAAACAGCAGTGGATGACCAGAGTCACAAAGGTCAGATGTGGGGCTGTAGAGATAGCTCAGCAGTTAAGAGCACTTGCTGCTCTTGCAGAGGCACCGGTTCCCCTCAGAATCTTACATTGCTTGGGAGAAAGCCAAAGATCCCTTGAGTTTACAGTGTGTGCTAGAATTCTCAGAGTAACTAGCAAAAGGATCGAAATCCTGTATAGTCATCTCTCTTCCCCTCAGAAAACACCTAAAATCAGGGATACATAGTTTTTCCTATGCGCTCTGCCACATTGCCATGTGGTACCATGCTCTATGCCCTTGTGTTTCTTTAGTGTCACCTCTCCTTGGTGGGGACGGTCACTGCTGTGTAAAGTCAGAGTTACTTGAAGTATGGCACCACCTCAGCCATCTGTTTGTAAGCAAGCAAGTGACCAATGAGCAGGTAGCAAATACCATGTGGAAAAGCCAGACAGGGATGGCTCATGGCCTGGGCAGAATGAGTGAGGCACACAGTCTTACCATGCTATTCAGAATAGCATGCAGTTTCAAACTTTGGAATTGCTTATTTCTGGAAGTTCTCATTTAATAGTGTTGGCTTGAAACAGGTAAGTGAAAACCATGTGTATGAGGGATAGTACTATGTGTAAAGAGTAAGTATTCTGGCTTGGTGTTTAGTTTACCAGTGCAGTCTAACAGCTCTAAAAGTGTACACTTAGTGATAGAAGATCAGCATGTAATAAAGCAAATATGGATAGAGCTGTTAGGAAGAAACTGTCATTCATATACATACATATGTATGTGTGTGTGTGTGTGTATGTGTATATATATAAATCATAGTCGAAGATTTTAAGCATGTCTCTTAGCCATGAGAGAACAAGCACAGGTAAGCAGCACAGCCAGTGAGCTGTTATAATTGAAAACATAGATCTTTACAGTGTAGTTTGAGAATACACATTGCTCAGTAACACTCATCAGTCAGAAAGTTAGAGGAGGCAGAAATTTATGGCTTGTGTTTTCTGATTTGTATATTAATTGTATATTAATATAGAACTTTAATTAAACCTTAATACCTTTGAAAAACTTGAATACCTATCAAGGAAGAAGCCGTAGAAATGTGAAAGTGTCTAGAATTAGAGCAAACCATAGGGTGCACCTCTGTAATCCCAGGCTGTTGGAGGCTAAGGCAGTGGGTTCCTGAGTTTGAGGCAAGCCTAGGCTATATGCGTGACCCTGTCTCAAAAAATAGGAAAGAGCAGTAAGAAACTCTACTCATCAAAATATCTACTACAGTTAATTCTTAGAGGAAAATTCAAAGTGAGTAGGGATGAGGCCAAAGCTCAGTGATAGAGTGTCTAGCCTGCATAAACCCTTGGTTCAATCTGTAGAAGTGCAAAAAGCAATAAAAAACTAAAAATGAGCAAAGGAGCCAGGTATGGTGTTGCACACAGATGATCCCAGCATATGGAAGACCAAGGCAGGAGGATCTTGAGTGTGGGGACTATCCTCGACTACATAGGGAATTCTAGGCCATACTGGGCTATTTAGGAAGACCTTGTCTCAGAAAGAGAAAAGAAGATCAGCGAATTGGCTCAGTGGGTAAAGCCCCTACCTTTCAGGCCTAGTGACCCCTGTTCAATCCCCAGAGCCCACAGGAAAGTAGGAGTGAACCGACTCCACGTAATTACCCCCTGACCTCCATACGTGTGCCATGGCATGTGTACACTTGCACTCAAAAATAGTACGAAAAGGAAAAGGAGAGGTGACAGGGTCACAGTGACAAATGAGTATTGGGAGGTAAACTTTTCCTAGAGTGCCTGTTCCTAGACACGTGCATGGAAACGCCTTCTCTTCTTTGAGCTCATGGGTTGTTTATCAAGGAGCTCCTTCATAATCAATTTTGTGTCCTTTAAAAACAGTGGATGTGGCTGGGCGTGGTGGTGCACGCCTTTAATCCCAGCACTCGGGAGGCCGAGACAGGCATCTCTGTGAGTTCAAGGCCAGCCTGGTCTGAAGGGTGAGTTCTAGGACAGCTGGGGCTACAGGGAGACCCTATCTCAAAAAGACAAAAAAATAAAAACAGTGGATGGGTGTTGCCGCGTGTGGTGGCGCATGCCTTTAATCCCAGCAGCCTGGGAGGTAGAGGCAGGTGGATCTCTGTGAGTTCAAGGCCATCCTGGTCTACATAGTGAGTTTCAGGACAACTGGGGCTACAGGGAGACCCTGTCTTAAAAAGACCAAACAAAACAAAACAAAACAAAACCAGTGGATGTAACTGGAGATAATCATATTAGGTGAATTAAGTCGGCCTCAGAAAGACAAATACTAGGCCCAGGAAATGGCTCAATGAGTAAAAGTGCTCTGTTCAAATGAAGACCAGAGTTCAGATCCCCAGCACCCATGTGCTGGTGCTGTGGCATGCATCTGTAATCCCAGTGCTGGGCGAGCCAAGACCACTACTCCCCACAGGCTCACTGACCAAAAGAATGAGCCCCATATTCAGTGAGAGACCCTGCCTCAGAAAATAAGGTGGAGAGCTATAGAGGAGGACACTCAACCTTGACTTTTGGCCTCCACACATGCACTCACGGGCACATGTTCCCATGCACGCACATGTATACACCACACAATAAATAAATGTTTTGAAAGAAATCACTTTTCCTCTAATTTTGAGGTTCTAGATTACCTGTATAGGTACATAAAATCATGTATGTGCAGGTGACATCTGTACAGACGTAGAAGTAAACTACCTAGTGAGTAAAGAGGGCCATGAAAGGGGAGGGCAGTGGGGAAGGTGCTCAGTGTGTATTATATACTTACATGAAAGCGGTCTTAAGTAACATAGTTGAGTAGTGTAAAAAATTCAAAAACTGAGCCAGGCGTGGTGGCACACGCCTTTAATCCCAGCACTTGGGAGGCAGAGGCAGGCGATCTCTGTGAGTTCAAAGCCAGCCTTGTCTACACAGTGAGTTCCAGGACAGCTGGGGGTAAAGGGAGAACCTTTTTCAAAAAAACCAAAAAAAAAAAAAAAAAAAATTCAAAAACTTGTCTAGAGCTGGGGATGTAGTAGGCCCTTGCCTGGCATGCTCACTGCTTCTTGTTCAGTTCCCCACAACAAAGAAAAACAGAAGAGTGTGAAGAATCCACTCTGCTGAAAGCTGACCTGGAACTCACTATGCAGACCAGGCTGGCCTTGAACTCACCAAGGTCTGCCTGCCTCTACCTTCCAGTGCTGGGATTAGAGGTGTGCACCACCATGCTTGCCTCTGATTTTCTTATTTTATAAGTGAGCCCAAAAGCAAAAAAGAAAAACAAAATAAAACCTGACAGCTTGGGGCTAGAGAGATGGCTCAGTGGTTAAGAGCACTGTCTCCTCTTGCAGAGGACTCAGGTTTAATTCCCAGCACCCACATGGTGGATAACAACCATTCCATATACTTTCATATGACACTCATATACATAAAATAATAATGAATTTTTTTTAAAGGACAACTTGGCAAAATTATAAATCCTCAAAGTAGATATTTCCATTTTCTAAAACACATTTTTATTTATTTATTGGGGGTGCTGGAATATTGTGTGGAGACTTAACAGGAGTCAGTTTTCTTCTTCCAACATGTGGATCCTTGGGGTGGAACTCAGGTTTTCAAACTTGGCAAGGTGATTTTACTCACCAAGATAACTTGCCAGTCCCTGTGCTTTTTAAAAATGTTATTTTAAAAGTAGCATACAGAGTAACGGGTTTTATTGTGACATTCTCATGAGTGTCTGTCATGATGTTTTGTTCTTATCTGTCCTCACTGGCCTCTTCCATGTCCTTTCCTGCCCCTTGCTACCCTGAACTCTAGTTGCCCTTTGCCCTAACTGCATTGAAGATACCGTACACTTTGATTATTATGTTTATAGCTTAGTATTTTCCTCCCTCTAGGATGTAAGTTCTGCGGTAGGAGTACTAGAAAAGTCTCTTGTTCATGAGAATCTCAGACATACAGAACAAAGTCTACAGAATAGATGGTAGTGTTTGTTATCGAAGAAGAGAAGTCCATGTAATATGTAAATACATACAGTACGTATGAATTTGGAATCTTGGAAAATCAGATTTCTAGGAAATCATAATTCCCTGCAGCGTTGGCTCAGGAACAGAGAACCCAAATAAACCCATGAGCTTAAGTTAGTGTTTTAAAAAGGAAATTTTACTGCTCTGCTTGTTTTTAAATCTTTAATTAATTAATTAATTATTATTTATTTTTATTTATGTGTGTGAGTGAGTGTATTGCCTGCATGTATGTAAGTGCACCCATGTCATGCAGTGCCCACAGAGGTCAGAAGAGGGTGTCAGATCCCCTGGAATTGGAGTTATGGCTGGTTGTTAGCTGCCATGTAGATGCTGGGAACTGAATGTGGGTCCTCTACAAGAGTAGCCAATGCTTTTAACCACTGAGCATCTCTCCAGCCACATTCTCTGCTTATAATTTTAGGTGGTTCTACCTTTTTTTTGATTTTTTTTTTTTTTTTTTTTTTTTTTTGGTCTTTTTGAGATAGGGTCTCCCTGTAGCCCCAGCTTGCCTGGAACTCACCCTTTAGACCAGGGTGGCCTTGAACTTACAGAGATCCACCTGCCTTTGCCTCCTGAGTGCTGGGATTAAAGGCATGCACAACCACGCTAAGCCCCATTTAAATTTTATGTAACTTTTTCTAAATAATTAAAAATATGCAGACCATTTGAACTCAATTTGTGAGACTAATAATAATTTAAGATGAAAACCAGACAAGAATAATATAGGACAAAATTAATGACATGGTAATTATACTCATAAATATTTGAAGAAAAATTAGTATACTAACAACATGTTAAGGCTAAGATAACCTGTGCAGTTAGAGGCAGGATTGTAGGTCAGTCGATGTGTGTGCTGGGGGTGCTGCTATGTCCTGGTAGGGTGCTGGTTTTCTTATGTTTGTCCCATTGAAGTTCACTCAGCTAGATATATCTGTACATTTCTATACATTTACCTAAAAAATATAATATGGGGGGCTGGAGAGGTGGCTTAGTTAAGAGCTTTGGCTCCTTGTGCAGAGGATCTAGGTTCAGTTTCCAGCACCCACATAGCAGCTAAGAACTGTTCTTAACTCCAGTTCCAGGGTGTCCCATACCTTCTTCTTGCCTCCATGGTTACTGCATGCATGTGGTACCCTTAGATACATGCAACCCAACACACACACAGAGTCAGGTATGGTGTGTGTGCTTGTAATCTCAGCTCTAGGAAGCAGAGACAGGCCAGTCCCTGGCACTTACTAGCCAGCCTACTCAGCAGATTCCAGACAGTGAGACACCCTGACCCAAAAAGAAGGGTGGGAAAGAAAAGAAAGGGAAAAAAAAAAACCAACAACACAAGAGTGGAAGATTCCAGAGGAATGACATCTGAGTTGAATTGAACTCTGGCCTCCATGTGCATGCACACGTGCATGCACCTGCACATAGCTGTACACCCTCATGCACACACAAACCTGCTAAAGAATCCCACTGATTCATGCTAACAGTCTTCACAAACGAAGGACAGAAGAGAGCATCTATAAACTGACCTGGGTTGAAGCTGCAGAGCCACAGAAAAAAAGAACAATGTGGTAAAGACAGATTTCTCCAAATATTCCACAAGCTCCTTGTCCTTTCCTAGTCTCCTTTGTTCATAGGTCAGGGCCAAGTTACTAGTTCTGTCCACTTGACTGTGAACAGGAGTAGAGTGTGACTTTTAGGCAGATGCAGTTAAGCTGGTGTTCCTTCTCCATCCCACTCTCCTCTTGCTCCAGTCACTTTGGAGGCTGCCTATTGCAGACAGTTTAGATTTAAACAATGGAGGGAGGATGCTTCACTGTCTTCAGACTTTGCGTAAGCAAAACACAACCCATCTGGTAGCTTCAGTTGTGAGCTTTGCACATCTGGGAAAAAGGAATCTCAGTTGGGGAATTTCCTCCATCAAGCTGGCCTGGGGACATGTCTGAGGCAGTCTCTTGATTATTGAGAGACGTGACAGGGCCCAGCCCACTGTGGGATACAACTCAGGTGGTCCTGGATTATATAAGAAAGCAAGCTGAGCACAGGCCAGAGGAGCACGTCAGTAAGCAGTGTTCCTTCATGTCTGTGCTTCAGCTCCTGCCTCCAGGGTCCTGCCCTGGCTTCCCTCAGTGATGAACTGTGACCTGGGTATGAGTCAAATAGACTTTTTCCTTCCCAACATTGTTTTGGTCATAGTGTTTATCACAACAATAGAGAAGCAAAAATTAAAACACAACCCCTTTTAGTGTTAAGCCTCTAAGTGTTCCAGACCATGCATGTTGTCAGCACAGGCTGTCTTAGTCTGACTAATGTAGAGGACAGCTGCCAAATGATTACAGCAACTCTCACGTTTGGTGATCAGAATGGTCACAGTCAGGAGTTAGAACAAGGATACCAGCTATGTCTGCTTTGGATCAGCATTGTGAGTCCTGCTTGCCATGGAAGGAGCAGTTATGTTTGCAGGTTGTTTGTGATTTTTGTTTTTTTCAGACAAGGTTTCACTGTGTAGCCCTGGCTGACATGGCATTCTCTAGACCAGACTGGCCTTGAACTCACAGAGATCTGTGTGCCTTTGCCTCTTGAGATCTAGGACTAAAGGTGTGCCCCACCGCTCCTGGCCAAGATTGCTTATCTTTACCGTGTATACAATAAGCATGTTCCTTTAACAGGAGCTGTGTATTTAAGGTAACTATATCATGAACCAACAAAATAAAACAGTTTCACCGAAAACTCTGGCACCGAGGAATGAGTGGAGCAAGGAAGCACAGACCCTCTGTGGAGATGGGAAGGGTCAGCTGGAAGCCTCTGAAGAACTTGGACACAAGGATGCAAGAACATCAATTCTCTCATTATCCTCACAGTTCATGACACTTAGCCAGAATCCTGACGGGATTTTAATGAACTAGTCAAGCTGAATCTTAAGTCTGTGTAGGAAAAGGAAGGGCTGGGGATAGCCAGGCCACTTCTGAATGAGATCTGCTGTGAAGCTGAGTTGCAGAGGCAGAGTGGTGCCGGGTCTGAGGACAGATGGTCTAGCGGAACAGAAACGAGTACCCCAGTTCCCACTTATTTATGGAAATGAGTATGGATTCTGACACAGCAGAATCCTTACCAATGTAAAGATGATGGCTGTTTCAATAAATGGGACTGGACATTTATTCATTGTGGGATGAAAATAATACATGCTGGGGCTGGAGAGATGGCTCAGCGGTTAAGAGCACTGACTGCAGAGGACCCAGGTTCGATTCCCAGCACCCACATGGTGGCAACGAACCGTCCTTAACTCCAGTTCCAGGGGAATCCAAAGCCGCCTTCTGACCTCTGTGGCATTGCATGACACGGGTGCCCTCACATACATGCAGGCAATATACTCATACACACAAAATAAAAAATAATAAAGAAAATATTTTAAAAAAATACATGCTTAGCCAGTGTTTGTAATTAAGCTCTGGTTGAATTGTGTTGTGTAAAAACGTGGCCAGAGAATCTGTTCTATGGATTTTTTAGTTTTTGAAAGTAAGCCCAAGGAAATAAATGAAACTTCGGGAAAAATGTTTTCAGCGTGTATGACATACAGGACTTTTTTTTTTTTTTTTTTTTTTTTTTTGGCCTTTTTGAGACAGGGTCTCCCTATAGCCATGATTCACTATGACCAGGCTGGCCTTGAACACACAGAGATCCACCTGCCTTTGTCTTCAGAGTGCTGGGATCAAAGGCGTGCACCATCATGCCCAGTTGAGAAGATGAACCCTTGTTATTTTGCTTTCCTGATGTGTGTTTATTGATATTTTAAAATTTGTCATAGTTTTGACACTAGGAGTTTTATAAAAGATGAAAGAGTAGCTGGGTGTGGTGGCACATACCTTTAATCCCAGCACTTGGGAAGCAGAGGCAGGTGGATCTCTGTGAGATCGAGGCCAGCCTGGTCCACATAGTTCCAGGACAGCTGGGGCTACAGGGAGACCCTGTCTTAAAAAGACCGAAATAAACCCCAAATCCAGATGAAAGACTTCCTTGTCTTTTCTACTTAAAGCATGTCCCAGGTGGATGTGGATTCAGGAATTGAAAACATGGAAGTGGATGAAAATGACCGAAGAGAAAAACGGAGCCTGAGTGACAAGGTTGGTAAGGGACAAAGCCCTTGCTTTGCTCCTCGGTGCAGGTAACACCAACACTGCCATGCTTGCAGCTGTAGAGTCTGTTTGCTGTGCACCTGCTCAGAGGCTCTATGTAGGTATGGTCTCTTTCTTTTGAAGAAGAATGGTTCAGCCTCCCCCCCCCCCCCCCCCCCCAGGTTCTCATTACATAGGCCACACTGGTGTGGAACTGGGCTCAGCTCCCATGTACTATGATCACAGGTGTGCTGTCATTCCCAGTTCTGTCTCTCTTCTTAGTGGCAGTGTAATGCCATCCCTCTACTTGGCTCAGGTCCTTATTTTTAGTCAGTAAACTTATTTTGTAATTTGCTTTGAGCTAGCTACAGTTTTTATTTGGGGGGGGTCTTTGTTAAAGTGGTTGCTCATTGTATCTTTGGCCATATCCTGAGATAACTGAAGCAAGAATGTATAAAATCCAGAAGTAAAAACTTTTGAGGTCTTTCTATTTTCATACAAGATTTGTTTCCTATACTTAATTTTTTTTTTTTTGCTTTGATTTTTTTGGTGTCCTCCATGGTTTAAGTAATCCACCTTGCTTTTCCCTTCAGAAAGCTAATAGAGGTAACCTGTTAACAGTTCTTAGAAGTTGGCCCACAGCATCTTAGTGGTGCAGTACTGTTGTTCATTAATTCTTTAGTGTTTCCAAAGTTCTCTCATATGATAGTTCATCTGTAGTGAAATATAATGAAAAATGTTTAAGTTTAGGAAAACCTTTGAAGGAGAATTGATTCTGTACCTAGAATCAATTAAGCTCATTCTTTAGAGTTCACAGACAGTAAGTAGATATAGGATGTATCTGTGTCCTGTGTAGGTCATGAAACTTAAATTTTGTAATGTTGACGTCATCACCGTAGATTTGGATTTCTCTTGATCAGTAGGTGAATGGTTTTATGTGTTTAAAAAATGTCCTCCTTAATAAATGAATTAAATTTGAACCAAGTGTCTAATTCATGTCTCCGGGAGTTGATTAATTCTCATCTTCCCCACTAGGAGCCTTCTTCGGGCCCTGAAGTGTCTGAAGAGCAGGCTTTACAGCTGGTCTGTAAGATCTTCCGAGTCTCCTGGAAGGATCGGGACAGAGATGTCATCTTTCTCTCTTCTCTTTCCGCGCAGTTTAAACAGAACCCTAAAGAAGGTGGGACTCTCTCTACCATAATCTTTTTCAGAACACTTTGGAGAAGGAAGACCTGAGAGCCTTGTGCTTCTCTGTCTGCTTTGGGGTACACTTAGGGTTGGAGGATGCTTCTTGGTGGGGTCACTGTGTGTGCTCACGTTCTTCACTTTCCATTCATCTTATTAATAAGTAATTTTTTTTATTTTTTATTTTTTTGAGATTGGGTCTTTCTGAAGCCCCAACTGGTCTGGAACTCACTATGTAGACCAGGCTGACCTTGATCTCACAGAGATCAGCCTACACCAGTCTCCTAGAATTAAAGATTAAGGATGTACACTACCACACCTGGCTAGTAAATTCTTTTTTAAAAAATATTTATTAGGCTGGGCTTGGTGGAGCACACCTATAATCCCAGCACTCTTAGACAGAGGCAGGGGCAGGGGCAGGGGGATCTTGTGGGATCAAAGCCAGGTCGGGCTATGGGGGCCCTGTCTCAAAAAAGATAATGGGAAAAAAATTTTTATTTGTGTGTGTGTGTATGTATGTCACGTGTGTGCCAGTGCCTATGGAGGTCAGAAGAGTGTTGGATCTCGTGGAGCCGGAGTTCAGGCAGGTATAAGCCAGCTAACGTGGGTGCTGGGCACAAATTCTGGTCCACTGCAAGAGCAGCAAAACCCTCTTACTGCCGAACCATCTCTCTAGCCCCATAAGTGTTTTTTACTTTAATGATTTCTACAAAAAGAAAACTATGGAGATAAGTTCATGGTTCCACTATCTCAGGGTTGAAGTTTTTCCCTTTGTGGTAGAAACTTTGAGAGGACATCAACCTTCTATAAAGGACAAGTATGGTGGGTGGACCCCAGGGACTCTCAGAATTGTTGACCCCATTGATTTGCAGCACAAGCACCTCAACTCTGTCTTCTTACAGTTGATATCTTTCTAGATCTGTTCTGAATGTTTACCAGGAGATGTGTAGGCAGTGGAGTGATTTTTTTTATTAAATTGCTGAGCAAAATAGTATATATTTGCTGTGTTCCCAGGATTCTATTTTAAGAGGTTAGCTGTGCTGAACTGTACTTAAAATAATAGAGTATTTTGCCAAGAGACAGCTTTATGGGGCACTGTGGCATTTTACTTAAGTTAATCATTGCAGTAGAGGTTGGGAGCTATGCTAGAGGGGTTTTGGTTTTTGCTTGTTTCATGTTGATGCTACTTGCAGTTGGTTTTTATTTTCCCTATCACTGGGATGTAACAGGACCACCGTAATGAGAATTTGTCTGTTTTGCTCACTGGTGTACATCCCCAATCCTTAGAGTGTGTTGCCCGTCTTCTGGAAGGAAATGGGTAGGCCTCTGGTTTTAGCATCTTCTTAGTAACTAATCTGGCTGTGGCGGTGAGCTTGGCAACCTTTGTTTTAATGCCTTGCCACATGTTATTCTTGCTCTGAGTCTTAAGATTCTTGTGATTTTTGGTACATATCAACAGTCATTTTAAAAATGATCTAACCAAGTAAAATTTACATGGTTTAGAACTTTTGTTCATGGTGTTCAAATTGTATCTAAAGACCAATAAAAAAACCAATGGGGAGCTGCAGAGAATAAAGGCAAAGCCAGGCTGTGTAATCTCAGCCAGAAAGCCAGATGGGGACTCAGTATTGAACCCCATAAGATCTTCTGAACCTTGGGTTTAATGGTTTTTTGTTTTTGTTTTTTAGTATTTTATTATTTTTATTTTATGTGTATGAGTGTGTTGCCTGCATGTATGTGAGTGCACTCGTGTCATGCAATGCCGCGGAGGTCAGAAGAGGGCTTCGGATTCCCTTGGAACTGGAGTTAAGGACGGTTTGTAACCACCATGTGGGAGCTGGGAATCGAACTCGGGTCCTCTGCAAGAGCAGTCAGTGCTCTTAACCACTGAGCCATCTCTCCAGCCCCAATAGTTTTTTTTAATAGTAAAGTGATCACTAACTGAGAAATAGTAACCCAGGTACATCTGCTGTGGGATAGTAGCCTCAACTCTAGTAGGCAGTTAATGTGTATTAGCAGTAAGTCTGATTGTGCTCAAACTTTGTTTAAATAAAATTTAAGTTTGGTATAGTTTTAGATTTACAGAAAAGTTTCAAAGAAAGCACAGTTTTCCTTAATTTAACATTTTATATAATTATGGTGCATTTACCCAAACTTAGAAATTGCTAGGGACTGAGCCAGTGAGGTGGCTCAGTGAAGGTGCAGTCCCTGATCCTGATGGAAGACCTGAGTTCAGTCTCTGGAACCCACATGGTGGAGGGAGCAGACTGACTCCTGAATGTTCCCCTTGAGCTTGCACAAATGCGTGTGCACGCACACACACACACACACACACACACACACACACACACACAAATAAGAAATCACTATGGACAAAACACCAGGCACTTTTTAGATTTTAGCAGGATTCCAGCTAATGACCTTTCGCTGCTGAGAATCCCATCTAGGATCCACATAGACTCTGATTCCATTTGTCTTACTGAATCACTGCATAGAGGAAGAACCATGAGTAACCTGTTTTTTTATTTTGCCTTCCCAACAGTGTTCTCTGATTTTAAGGATCTCATTGGCCAGATTTTAATGGAAGTGCTGATGATGTCTACTCAGACACGTGATGAAAATCCATTTGCCAGTCTGACAGCCACATCACAGCCCATTGCCACGGCAGCTCGGTCACCAGACAGAAATCTCATGCTGAACACTGGCTCCAATCCCGGAACAAGCCCCATGTTCTGCGGCCTGGGCTCCTTCAGTGCCAGCTCCTTGTCCAGGTTGGTTTGAAGCTCTGCACATCCCGCTGGGTGTGAAACAGCCATTGCTGAGAAGGAAGTGTTTCTGCCCAGGGTCGATCTGTGCCATGGGCATTACGGTGCATGTCATGAGAGGAGAGGGATAGTGATGGAGGTGCAGTTATCTTTTCTTGATTAGATGTCTTGACTTTCCATAGTTGTGCTAATAGTAGATTAAATTTTGGAAACACATGGCTGTTCTTTGAAAGGGGGTCATTGGCTCCTTCATATCAATATAGCAATTAGTCTAGTCATTTGTAAATGCTCTTATACTTAAGCTCTTAGAGATGTGTAATATAATTATACTATCCTTTAAAAGCCTGACATTTTCCATTTCTGGTTATTTCAAGATCTTCTTTGATTTTTCTCCCCCCCACCCTCCTACTCATTCAGCCTCTATGAAACTAGTCCAGCCTCCTCTGCCAGCGTCTGGAGCTCTGCCCTGAGTCCATCTTTTGCATCACCTTTGCGTGCAGCCAGCCATTCGGCTGTGCCTTCCACTTCCTTTGGCCCTCACAGTGCCACTACTGGTCCTATGACCGGAAGCCAGCCCTCATCCCCTCGGTACCGGCCCTATACTGTCACGCACCCGTGGGGGCCTTCGCCTTCCCACACCCCACGGTCCTCAGGCATGTCCATTCTGTCTAGTTCCCCAAGCCTCCCCGCCCTGCCAAGTAGTCCCCAAGCAGTCCCCACTGGCAGTTCCAGACAGAGGCCCAGCAGCAGGGGCCCAGCCTTCCCACCAGACTCACCCAGCAGACGTCCCTCCTCCCTGCGGATCTCTCCTAGGTATTTATCTGCAGGAGAGCTGCGTGTGTGTTTGCAGTGCAGGAAAAGAACATTAACACGGTTTGACAGAATTGCTGTGTGACACTGACCTCAGTTGAATTTCGGGAGCTATTTCCGGTTATTAACCTGTGTGGCTAGCTCTTTGGTAGGCATGTGTCCTGACTCCATGCTTCTACCAGCTTTAATCCCATGAGAAAGTAGCTGCCCTGCTGTGCTGCTTTCTTCCCCTCCTTATCTTGGCTCCTCCTGATGTCTAAACAAAAAACAAAGAATTGCGATTTGTGTGATCTAGTTACATGCCATTTCTCATTTCAAATGCATTCCTGAGACTGTGGTCAGTGTTCTGTTTGAGAATTGGGGCTCACAGGACCTGTTGACTTCCTGTACTGTGCCAAGGGTTGTTGAAACACAGGCAGCTCCTGGACCAAACTGAGCCTGTGTCTGCTCTCTGATGCAGCTTGCGTCACACCTTGATGCCTTGAGCTTTGATTTTATGTGATGTCAGCCTCTTCAAAAGCAGCAGCAGCAGAGTTCCAGGATTCCAGTGGCCCCCTTTCTCAAATGCACTTGTGTATTTCTGTAATGTAGGGAATTGGATTTCTGCATGTTCATGGAAAAATTTTTACCCTAAGATTTGTTGAAAACGACAGCAGCTGCCAAATCTTCTCGTTTCTTGTCTCCTTTATTCCATGATGACCTCTTTTGCTTCTGTTGTGGTAGTATGTACGACAATCCTTTCTCCTTCCTCGTCCTCGAACTTTCTGGGGACAGTAGTGATGAAGAAGATGAAGAAGATGATGATGATGATGGTGATGATGAAGGTGGTGGTGGTGGTGATGATTTTTCTTGTGTCCAGTTTGGGTCCAGGTATCAGCACAATGGAGTCTTATCCTTGCATGTGCTTTAGGTGCGTAGGAACTAACTTTAGTAAGAGGACTCTGCTTTGAATCCAAGCAGCCCAAAGTCAAACTTGCCCGCCGGCAAGTGCACTAAACAGGAGGGGCTTATAATGGGACAGAGTTGCCATTAAGTTGGTAGGAAAACTTATCTCTAATCATTTGTCAAATACCTGAAAACAGATTAACTGCCATTCATGATTGAGTTCACCTGCCTTTAGGTAGCGAATGAGGGCCTCTGTTTATCTGTGTTGAGTTTACCTGCCTTTAGGTAGAGAATGAGGGGCCTCTTTATCTGTTGCAGGAGTGTTCTTGGTCTCATTGAATGGATGGCTGGTGTTCAGGAAAGGCGCAGGAGCTCAGCCTAGGCTATCTGGAGGAGCGGCCAGTGTAACTGACATTCCTTTTTCTTCTGACCTTGGGCTTCCCTGAGCACCTCCTGAGTCTCAGTGAAGTGCAGCCCATTTGTTTCAGAGGCTAAAACAGGATTCAGGGTGTCACCAAGTGTCCCCCTGAAACCGAGTTAAAAAAAGCAGGGTGTTCTAGGTGACTTCAAGTCCCCAAATACAGTAGCCCTGTGTTTCTAACCCTCTGACTCATTGTCTTAACAGTTTCACTCTTAAACTGAAGTTTCTTCTGGACAGAGTTGGTATTTATACTCAACAGTGTTCAAAAATAGCTCCAGGCTATAAATAGAGACTGCAGTAGGAGCTGGGTACACTTCATTAAATTTGACAGCTCATAAAGAGAGAGAGGGTTGTTGACACAGGGTTGAATATTGATTCAGGAAGGTTGATATTTGTATTAGGTTAAATATTTTATTGCCATTTCTCAAGTAAATTTTCCCCAAAGGGGAAAAATGTCTTTAGAATCCTGTTCTGTGACTATAGTTCACATAGCAGGCATCCTTAGGAATCTCTTTACATACATGATAAAAATGTTGTATCTGTTAGAGCAATGTTCAATGTAATTCCTTTTTTTAAAAAAATTTTTATTTTTATTTTATGTGCATGCATATATTGCCTGCATGTATGTAAGTGCACCCATGTTGTGCAATGCCCGCAAAGGACAGAAGAGGCTCTTGGATCCCCTGGAACTGGAGTTATGGACAGTTGTTAGCAGCCATGTGTGTGCTGGGATTTGAACCCAGGTCTTCTCCAAGAACATTCAGTGTTCTTAACTGCTGAGCCATCTCTCCAGTCCCCAATGTAATTCTTTTTAAAAAGATTTTACTTATTTTTATGTGTATGAGTATATTGTCTATATGTATATAAGTACACCCATGTCATGCAATGCCCGTGGAAGTCAGATGAAGACATCGGATTTCCCTGGAACTGGAGATACAGATGATTATTAGCTGACAGGTAGTTGCTGGGAATCGAACCCAGGTCTTCCACAAGAGCAGCCAGTGTTCTTAACCACTGAGCATCTCTCTAGTCCCCTCAATGCACTTTTTATTTATTCATTCATTTATTTATTTAATGTGTATTAGTGATTTACATGTGTGTAAGTGTACCACATGTTTGCAATGTCAGTAGAGGCCAGAAGTAGGCTTCAGATCCACCTGGAAGTGGAGTTATGGGTGATTGTTATTAAGCATGTAGTTTACCTGTGTTCATACAGGCGTGTAAAATAAAAATAAAAATTTTGAAAAAGACTTGGGAACTGGAGAGATGGCTCAGTGGTTAAGAACACTGGATGCCCCTTGCAGTGGATTAGAGTTTAGTTCCCAACGCTCATGTCAGTTGACTCACAGCTGCCCATAACTCCAGCTCCAGGGGATTAGATACCTCTATGGGTACCTGTGCTCACATGCACACACACCAGTGAGTGAGCCTGTCTCAAGAAACAAGGTGGACTGAGGATGGAGAGAGGACTCAGCAGTTAAGAGCACTGGCTCTTCTTCCAGAGGACCTGGGCGTGGTTCCCAGCACACACATCACAGCCATCTATAACTCCAGCTCCAGGGGATCATACACCCTCTTCTGGCTACCACAGACATTGCATGCATGTAGTACACTTAGATACATGCAGGCAAAACACTGATATACATAATAATAAATAAAATATTTTTCAAAACACAGATATTGACTAGCTCCTGAGGAACAACACCAAGGTTGACCACGCACACGCATACACACACACACACACACACAGATCTTGGTAAATGGGAAGGAATTGCATTGGAGTCCTTTAAGAAGCAAATCTTGGTACATATGAAATGCAGTTCAGTCTGCACAGATGTGCTGCATGAATTAATCCCTGGGAATATGTTTGTTGTTTTCAAGAGATTCTGCTACATTTCTGTTAGGTGAAATAACTACTTGATTAAATTGGACTGCTGATGTAGTTACCAGAAAATGGCTCCCATATTCTTACAAAGATGTTGTAATTTTTTTTTAGATATTCTTAGGGCTTAAACACTTCCAGTATTTTAGAATTTCAGACTTATAAAGTCATAACCAGGGCTGGAGAGATGGCTCAGCTGTTAGGAGCACTGACTGCTCTTGCAGAGGACCAAGGTTCAATTCCCAGCACCCACATGGCGGCTACGAACCATCCTTAACTCCAGTTCCAGGGGAATCCGAAGCCCTCTTCTGACTTCCACAGCATTGCATGACATGGGTGCACTCACATACATGCAGGCAATACACTCATACACATAAAATAAAAATAATGAAATATTTTTAAAAAATTTTTAAAGTCATAACCTATATAACCCCTTTTTTGCATAATAGAGATGAATTGCTGATTTAGTGAGTAGCGTGTGTGTGTATGTGAATCTGTCTTAAAGACTGGATCTCACTGTGTTGACAACGCTGGTTTTGAACTCCTGGACTCAAGCGATCCTCCCTCCTCAGCGTCTTGGGGAGCCAGGATTATTACTACCACTGTTGGCCTCTTTTAAATATTTAAGTGTTTGTTGTTGGCTTGAATCAGCTGATATAATGTACACCACTTTCTCTTGTGCTACATTCAGCCTTTACACACTTCTTTTCTTTTTGAATTTTTTTTTGATTTTTTTTATTTGTTTTTTCTTGTGTGTATATCATACAGAGCATCCCACACAATCTTATTCATCTATATACCACTTCCCAAATGGCACCCTCCCATAGCCTCCCTCACCACACACACACTGGAGCCCATATACTCTGTCATCCCTGTTACTGCCCACCATGTTGTCTCTTTGAATTTGAAAATCCTTAACACAATAGTTTTGATTTGAGACCGGGTCTCCCGTAGCCCCAGCTGTCCTGGAACTCACTATGTAGACCAGGCTGGCCTTGAACTCACAGAGATCCACCTGCCTCTGCCTCCCGAGTGCTGGTATTAAAGGTATGGACCACTGGCTGACCATTTTTAATATTGAGGTAATGATTTCCTTTGGCACCCTTTAGCATTGTTGTTTTTATTTTTGTTTTAGGTGTATGAGTAGTTTGCCAATGTGTAAGTGCACTCATGTCATGCAGTTCCCACAGAGACCAGAAGAGGGCGTGAGATCCCCTTGTACTGTAATTATGGGCAGCCACCATGTGGATGCTAGAAACTGAACCCAGGTTCTCTACAAGAGCAGCCAGTGTTCTTAATCGCTGAGCCCTCTCTCCAGCCCCTAGCATTGTTTTTATGATTGTGAAACATGCTGATAGACACATTTCTATGTTGGGTTAAAGTTTCATTTCACTTTTTCTCCTTTCTCCTCTTCAGTGTCAGCTAGTTGTTTGCTGCCTGATTCATGAAATATCTCTTAGCTTTGAAAATTCCTTAATATGTTCTTAGTTCCTTTGTTTGTATTTCCTGGCACATGATAAACTTCTGTTTACTGCGTCACGGTGTGTTATGTAGTCCAGCCTGGTCACAGTTTTCTGCCTCTGCCACCTGAGTCTGGGACCCCAGGTGTGTGTCCGTGCACTTGGCACCTTGTCAGCTTTCACATTCCAGTAAAATACTTGAAAGTGTTTGAAGTGACAGTGATGGGCTCAAATGGAAATTAAAGTGAAATCTAGTATGTTGCTGAGATGGGGTGTAACTTACGTAGCAGTTGAATCAGCAACACTAAGCATGTTGCATTCACACACATGAGTTGACCTGCTAGCTAAAGGTGCCACGTCAAACTGACTCCTTGCAACTGGTAAGGACCTGTCATCAGACACTAAAATTTTTTTTTTTTTTTTTTTTTGGTCTTTTTGAGACAGGGTCTCCCTGTAGCCCCAGCTGGCCTCAAACTCACAGAGATCCTCCTGCCTCTGCCTCCCAACCACTGGGATTAAAGGTGTGCGCCTCCACGCCCGGCTCAAATTTTTCATTTTAGCAGATGTTAGAAACATGGAATTATTGCCATAAAATGAAAATTATTTTCACTTTAAACTCAAGTAAGATAAGTTTTTGTTGACATGTAAGAGCTGCTACAAGGAAATTGTCTCTGAATTGCATTTAGGTGCAGAGCTGTATTTTATTAGCAAAGTCTGTCCTTGGATGTGCGGTGAATGTGATCAGTGAGTGGCTGGCTTCAGCAGGTGATAGAGGACACTGCTGATAGCTCAAAACTCAGATTGCTGCAGCACAGGCAGGTTTGTGCTCAGCACCTTTGAGGATTCATTACACTTGGCATATTTGTGATTCATTGAGTGTTTCCTGTGCTTTGTCACACAGTTCACCTTTCCATTGTCTGGCCAGTTAGGACCTACCAGACCTGGCTGTCAGTGAATAAAATGCACCAAAGCATTCACTGCTATGGAGACACCGGGATGAACGTGTTTTGCTTCAACAATCCCAGACTGTCTTGTCATCTTGTGCTTCTCTAGTGAAGTGCTTCGTGGTAGCTTAGAGACCTTGCGACAGGGTCTCTTGTAGCCCAGCTGGCCTGGGCCTCACTGTGTAGACCAGGCTAGCCATGAACTCAGAGATATCCATCTGCCTCTGTTTCCCCAGTGCTGGGATTAAAGGGGTGTGCCACCTTGCCCTGCTCATCTCTTTATTTTTAAATCAGACTGAATTGTAGATTATATAATTCAAATTTGTTAGATTCTGAACTGAAAACCACAAATTTAAAGCTGGTCCTATTTCACCTTAACTGAACTATTTCGATGTCCTGGTTTCATTCTGAGGTCAACCGTGTATATTTTTCCCAAATGCCAAGGTGATTTATGTGCATTTTTTCCAAAACTGGTTATCCATATCTCTCTGGGCGTATAACATGTTGCTGTGTCTTAGTCTTTTGTGAGCCTTTTAGTTTCTGTGCTGCAACTTGAAGGAAGTCTGTGTCTGCCAGAATCCTGACATTCCTTTGTCATTTCTTTTTTTGTCTTTTTGAGACGTGGTCTCTGTAGCCCCAGCTGTCCTGGAACTCACTATGTAGACCAGGCTGGCCTTGAACTCATAGAGATCTGCCTGCCTCTGCCTCCCGAGTACTGGGATTAAAGGCGTGAGCCAACATGCCTGGCTCCTTTGTCATTTCTATATGGAATATTTTTGCCCACGTTTCTCACTTCTTTCATTCAGAATTCCTTGTTCCCTATGCCTTGATTAATCTCTTTGTTATTTTTGTTTTGTTTCAGTTTTCTATGTATCAGCTAAGCATAGTAGATAAATACCCGGTTTGGTTTCTGAGTTGATGGAGATCAACCTTAACTTTGTCTAATTTCCTCAAACCTACCCCTTGTGATGTTTGGCTTTTGTCTTTGAACAGTTGTTAAAGTTAATGGCAGTGATCTCTTGTTGATGGCTTACAAGGCATTTCTGCAGTCTTCACTGAAGCCCCTACAGTTGTGATAGAGGTTCTGGGCTCAGGAAACAACTAAGCACTATGCTGGGACTAAAACAAGTCTGCTTATTCCTCATGCAAAATTTTTATTTTGTTTTTATTGTTCCATTCATCTTGTTTGCTGAAAATCTTGAAAATTTTATAGCAAATACATTGATATTTCCTTCTGCAACACTTTAGTAAGTTCTGGCCTGTTGCCAAAGGCTGGGTGAAGTTTCGTCAGATCTACACTAGACATCTCGAGGGTATTACCCCAATCTCAGAACTGTACTCCTCAAGTGTTGCATTTTAATGTTGTCTGGCCTTACTAACCTCAGGTCTGCCCAAATGATGTTGGTCAGTTTGGGTTACGAATTTGAGATAGACTTTATGTGTATAATACTTGGCAGTAGCTCTAGTCCTTCTGGTTTGTATGCTGCTGTCCAAAAGAAGGCTGAGTTCCCTGGTCAGGCTGTAATGTGTTCTCTGGAGATCACCGGTTGGCCTGCAGCAGGTGACACGGGTGACTCCACTTGGGTTGCATGAGCGTCTTTGCTTTGTCCTGGGTACAGGGCTCCTAACGGGCTTTTTGCTGCTGAGTGACAAACTTTTGTAGAGAAAATGCCAGGAAGAGGTAAGCATTGTCAGTGCTTTTTCTCTTCTCTAAAGTTTGGGCGCCTCTGGTGGAGCAAGTAATTGGGATTCCTACAGTGACCATTTCACCATTGAAACCTGCAAGGAGACAGACATGCTGAACTACCTCATCGAATGCTTTGACCGAGTTGGAATAGAGGAAAAAAAAGCACCAAAGGTACTCTGACACAGATTTACCAGAAAGAAAGCAAACTGGTTATTTGTTTGAGAGTCCTTGCCCCTAGGAGAAGGCATTCACTGCCTTTGCCAGTGATGTAGTTACAAGCAGCTGTCCTGAAGCAGGGAGTGTGCTCGAAACTTGGCATCTCTGAGACTCCAGCCCACACGTGAAGCCAAGTGGCCTTGGTTCACACTGCAGCTAGTTGCTGCCAGTGCCTCACGTGGTGCTGACAGTTCTGTGTCAGTTTCTCCATTGATAGGGCAAAATATTTGGGAAACTCAAAGGAAGAAAGGCTTGTTTGGGCTCAGGATATTTTAGTCAATGGGCAGCTGGTTCCATTGTTTCTGGGCCATGCTGAACATCATGATAGACAGGCATGGTACAGCCAAGTTACTGTTGTCCTGGTGTTGAGGAATCAAAGAAAGACAGGAAGAGTCCCAGGATTAGTTACACACTTGAGAGACCTACTTCCTCTAGCTAGGCCTCACCTGCCAATTCCAGCTGTCTGTGAATCATTATGCTGATGAAGCCAGATCTGGAGCTTAGATCCAGTCACCCCTCAGAAACCCATCAGCTAGCAACCAAGCCTTTAACACAGGAATCTTCAAGGAATGTGTTTAGATTCAAACCATGATCAGTAGCCAGAGGTAATTATAGTACAAGTAACCAACGCTGTGGAACGCCTGTACCATAGATTGTGGGACCTTTGCCCAGTGCACATTAGCTTGACTCGTCACACTCAGTCTGCAGTCCAGAGCAGCCCCATGTAAGGTAGACATTCCTTCTATTGTGTATGTGATGCCCCTCAGAGATTCAGTTCCTAATTGTCCAGAATTTTTTAGTTGTAAGTCACAGGGCCTGGTTAAGCTAAGGGCACAGCTATCCACTGTTTCATTCCCTATTTTCTCACTCAGAATTCGTTGACCAGTTCTAATTTGATGCTGGCAGTACATGTGGGTAATATATTACTATAGCTCGTCCATTGTGAGGACAGGGAGAGCAGTGTTGCTTTCCTGGCCCTTTCAGCCTTGAGCAGGATGGTGTGTCTTACACTGATTGTCACTTTCTTCTCTAGATGTGCAGCCAGCCAGCAGTCAGCCAACTTCTGAGCAACATACGCTCTCAGTGCATCTCCCACACTGCACTAGTGCTGCAAGGTTCCCTCACACAGCCAAGGTATGGATGGAAAGTTTAGATCACCCTCTGCTAATGTTTAGTAGGGAAAGAATCCATCTCCCAGTGGGTGGCCATTTCCAGATGTTTTATACCGTGTTGGATAACCCTGTGGCCTGTGTGGTGAATGTGTTTTATTGAATAAGCACAGCTCCCTTCCCTTCTAGAATACTGCGAAGATCCAGCAGTATTTACTCATTGGAATATGGAACCAAGGCAGAATAGTAATAGTTTAAGTGTTTGAAATTTATGAACTTCTATCATAAAGTGAGCATGTTCCAGGTGTCGCCTCATTGATTTCTGTTACTTAGTATTAGGGAATAGTGGGGAAAACCAGGTGGAAAACCAGGATTACATGCCTGTAATCCCAGCACTCAAGAAGCAGAGGCAGGAGGATTGCCACCAGCACAGGCCAGCCTGGTCTACATAGTAAGTTCCAGATCAACCTGGGCTACATATTGAGATGTGTCTCATTAAAAACAAAACAAAATAAAAAGAATAATGACAGAATAAATAATTTTGAAGTTGACCAAAGTGCTGTAGTGTGTGTTTCAGAAAATAATGTAAAAATGTCAAGTTTAATAAAAAATTGCCTATTTCCTTTCTTTTATGCAAAAGTACATAAATAAAAAATGACAAAGTCACATTTCTTCATTCTGGCTGTTATTTCCTGTACCATAATTATTTGCTTTTTTTAATTAATTAATTAATTAATTAATTAATTTTTTGTTTTTGTTTTTGAGACAGGGTCTCCCTGTAGCCCCAGCTTTCCTGGAACTCACTATGTAGAACAGGCTGGCCTTGAACTCACAGAGATCCGCATGCCTCTGCCTCCCGGGTGCTGGGACTACAGCACCACACCCGGCTAATTATTTGTTTTTAAATCTTTTCAAAATGAAGAAAAATTTAGGCTAGGCGTGGTGGCACATGCCTGTAATCTCAGAACTTGGGAAGCTGAGGCCATCCTGGGCTACATAGCGAGACTCTGTCTTAGAAAACCAAATGACAAAAGAAAAAAAGAAACAACGAAAATTATATACACATACTAAATAAAACTTAACGTTAGTAAGAGACCAGACTGGCCTTCAACTCACAGAGATCCGCCTGCCTCTGCCTCCCAAGCGCTGGGCTTAAAGACTTAAAGACGTGCACTACCACGCCCTGCTTACGTTAATAAATGCTCTAAAGAAATTACTGCTAATCTTTTTTTCTCAATAGGCATGAGGCATGAATAAATAAAAGTGAAGTATCACATGGTTCTTTTAAGTTATTTGTTTATTTTGCAGTACTAAGGATCTAGCTCAGGGCTATTTGTGCTGAATATTTGGGGGGAGGGTCATGTTTGCTTTCTGACTGGGGCCAGTGTGGCTATGACATTCACAAGCTTTACCTGGGTCCTCAGGTCCATGCAGCAGCCTTCTTTCCTCGTGCCGTATATGCTGTGCAGGAATCTCCCGTATGGCTTCATTCAAGAGCTGGTGAGGACTACTCACCAGGATGAAGAGGTGTTTAAGCAGGTACAGTCAATTCGCTGCCCCAGCTTTTAGCCCAAGTGCTTCTATGCTGACACTGATGTGTAGATGCATCTGTCATGGAGCAGGGAGGGAATCATGAGGCCCAACCCCTCCCATACAGTTAATGGTTGCTGGGAGATGGAGAAATGTGTTCTTCAGTGATACTGGTAAGGTGCCCGTGCCCCTGTAAACAACCCCTCAGCTGTTCCCCTGTAAACAACTTTAAGTAAACTCATTGGGTCATAAGGAGAAACAAAAAGAAGACATGAAAGTGGAGGAGGCTGGTTGGGAAGAGGATGAGGATCAGAGGGAGCAGGACGGGACAAGAGAGGGCAGGGTGGCGAATGTGATCAGAGTACGTGAAGTACAGAAACCCATTGTGTATAATTGATATATGCTATAAATGTTGGAAATGTCTCCTCCTGGATCTCAGTTACTTGCTTAGAGGGAGACCTACCTAAGATTCTTTTCCGGAGGAGATGGAATTGGCAGCCACACTGATCGAGTCCTGTGCTCATCTCCAACAAATCAGTCAAGCGTCGAGTCTTTGAAACACAGTTCACACTAAGTGATGTGGGAAAGGAGAAAAAATATAAAAGCACATTCCATGCCTGTTCTAAAGGAGCTTTCTACATGACACTTTGAAGAGAGTGAGGCCAGATGGGTCCTGTGAAAAGTTAGTCCTCTGAGTTTGTAAGATTAATAAATTAATGACCAAATCTGCCACCTGGCATCCCTGTCTCAGCAGCATTCACACAAGCCATGTTGATGGCAAGATTTCCATAGAACTTTCCTACGACAGAGCAGTGTCTCTTTGTTTTCTTTCTAGTATTATTACTCATAATTCTCATCTTCGAGACCTTTGAGTTCTTGGGGATTGCGTTTTCATTAGTGCAGGATTCAAGGATCAAAATCCCACCTAAAGTTTCACTCTGAACTTGGTTAACTGCTTATCTTCAGTCCTGGTCTTACTGACTTTCAGGCATAGCAAAGGTGGCATCATAAGTGAACCTCAATGAAAACTAGTAAATTTTTCAGGAGGGTTAAGTGAAGCAACCTTAGTGGTGTGGCAGGCATTAATTAGGATACTTTCCTTATGAAAAACAAAAAAGCCAAAAAAAAAAAAACCCAGCATTTGATGAACCCAGATTAGTTTTAAAATCAGGTCAATAATCAGCTTGTTTAATTGACAGACTTCTGCAGGGGTTATAAAGTGACCTTTTGGGGTCTTGTACTTGAGGTGAGAGGCACCCAATCCTTACAGAGTATTGTTTGGGCGGCACAGACAGGCTTATGTGAATCATAGAACACCATGCCTTCTCAGACCCCCAGGCCACAAGTGTGGCAGATGTGAACTACCGAGTCCTTGGCTTAGAGTCTCCAACTCCGTTTAATGTCTGACTGGTGCTTCCGGATGAGTAAACGGAAGTAAATTTAGAATTGGAGACAGAGTTGTAGCTTTTGTGTGTGTTATCAGCCCTGGGAGGTATCGACTTGGAAAGAATAGAATTAAAGTACAGTATTTAGGTCGCAAAAATAATGTGTGGAACAGCAAGATGGCTGAGTGGGTAACAGTTCATGCACCAGCCTGATGATCTGAGTTCAGTTCCCTGGAACCCACACTGGAAGGAGAGAGCCAAAGCCCGAGAATTGTCCTCTGACCTCCACACATAACAGCGTGGCTCACATGTACTCACACTTGTACATTATGTAAATGTGCACAGTAGTAATAAACAAGACCACATGTTAAAGATGTAATGATGAGGGGCTGGAGAGATGGTTCAGCGGTTAAGAACACTGGTTGTTATTGCAGAAGACCCAGGTTCAAATCCCAGCACCCACATGGTAGCTAACAACTGTCCATAACTCCAGTCCCAGGGGATCCGACAGCCTCTTCTGACCTCCGTGGGCATTGCACGACACAGGTACACTTAACTTAAACCTACATACAGGCAATACATGCATATACATTAAAAAAAATGTAATGCTTATTCTTATTTACCTGTTTATTAAAAATTAAGCCCTTATTTGTACAAGGGAAAAACCTCTACTAGAAAGTTTATAGCATTTATAGAAAAACATATTTAAAGATTGTTCAAGGGGCTAAAGTGGTGACTCAGTGAATAAGAGCACTGCCAGTTTTTGCAGAGGACCCAGCACTCACATAGTGGCTAATAATCATCTATAACTCCAGTTCCAGGGGATCTGACACCCTCTTCTGACCTCCACAGGCATTACATGATATGGGTGCATTTACATGTATGCAGACAATACACTCATACGTGTAGACAGTACACTCATACACATAAATAATATATGTAATACTTAAAAATTACTCAAGATGAGCAGTTATGACATTGATTCTTGGGCTTCTTGAACTTTTTTTGCCATTCCTCTTTGATTGCAATCTTGGACCCCCCCATGCTGAGTGCAGGTTGTCCATTTTCAGGTAGCTGGTGGAAGCACATTACTGTACCCTGATTATCTGAGATAATAAAATGCAGTGATCTCTTCCAGAGCTGTTTGCATATCTGAGAACACTGCACAGATGTGTCATTTAGGGCACCTCTTTTGATGGTGTTTCTCTCTTATGCCAAAAGTTCTCAGTATGATGGGATGAACTCGAGGCTGAGGGATTTGTACTCCCTTTACAATTTGTGATTCAGACTGTCAGCTGCTGTTTGTGTTTATGTTTGATCTTATTAGTCTTGGAGCCCAGCCCACTCCTGAATGTGTGGGTCGGTGAGTAGACTGTGAAGCATGAAGGGGAGCTGTGCTGAGCGAGATTTGCATGGTATTCCCAGTATTAAAGCCCTTCCCCTTGGTGCCCATCAGCTTCCACGCCAAGTGCCTATGTTATTTACACTGGCTGTAGTCAAGCATTTAGCCATTGTCCCTGTACTCTCGATTCGATTAATGTAATAAACAGCAAACTTCTTTAATGCTGTTGATAGTTGAGCAAAAGGTGGAACACGCAGCCTCGCTTCCTTACAGATTATAGGTGTGCGTTGATCAGGAATGGAGTGGAGAAGGTGCAGAGCTCTGCTGGTGAGGCGGGAACCCTGCACAGTCCTTCAGCAGCTCTGCTTTGTTAGACTTCGTCATCGTCCTCTTCTGGAACACTTACTTTATGGTTAGCCTCGTAGATGAGCAGAAGTCCAGAATGAAGTCCAGCCGAAGTCCAAAATCCTTTGTGTGCAGAAACAAAGGTTACTGACTTGCATGCTTAATTTTCCTTAAACCTAACATTTGTGGTTTTGTTTTGTTTTGTTTTGTTTTTCCAGATCTTTATCCCCATTTTACAAGGCCTGGCGCTTGCTGCCAAAGAGTGCTCCCTCGATAGTGACTACTTTAAATACCCCCTCATGGTAAAAGCTTGTTCTTTTTCTTTAAGACATTCAATAGATGTTTCTCTTTCAGGTTAAATGTACACTTTGCTTTCAGGTCTGTGATTAACTTAGTTTTTAATTTCTAGTTTTCTGAGAAAGGGTCTCATGTCTCCCAGGCTAGCTTTACATTTGCTGTGTAACTGAAGATGCCCTTTAACTCCTGATTTTCCTGCCTCTACCTTCAAGTACTGGGATGACAGATGTGCATCACTGTGCTTGGCTTACTTTGAAATTTAAAACAGATCATTGTGTTGGCCATACAGAGTGTAGTGTGCGGCGAGCTGCCTAAATGCAGACCGTAGCCTCCTGTATTCAACCTTTCCAGTCCTAGACAGCAATCAGTGAGCTGCCGATGTCATTGTGCTTCAGTATGCTAGATAGCTAGTGAAAAAGATGATGGTTGGAGCATCTTGATGATTATCTGAGCAACAAGCAAACCATAGTTGGGATTAAAATAACATGGAACTGGCAGGAGGGCTCACTGGTTAAAGATACTTGTGCAGGCCTGATGGCCTGAATTAAATCGACAGAATCTGTATAAAGGTTGAAGTAAAGAACAAGCTCCACAAAGTTGTCCTCTGAAGTGCTCCCCCCCCCATTATACATATACACAATAATAGTAAGTTGGGGGAGAAAAGCAATTATTCTTTTAACATGATCTGGCAGTGTAGCTCAGACTGACCTCAACCTCAAGTCTCTCTCAGCCTCCTGAGTGCTAAGATTACAGCTGTGTGCTCCCCTGTCCAACTGAGATTTAAAAGTAATAAAAATTATTGGGTCAGAGAAATGGCTTAAGCAGCAAGTTAAAGCACTTGCATGCAGTACAAGCCTAATCACCTAGGTTTGATTCTGGAACTCATGTTTAAAAAATGTGGATATGAGGTTGGATAAATGGCTCTATAGTTAGAAATACTTTCTGCTTTTGAAGAGGACCCAGGCTCGGTTCCCAGCACCCACATGCAGCTCACAACTGCCCTTAACTCTGGTTCCAAGGGATCCAACTCTCCCTTCTGGCCTCTATGGGCATTACATGACACTGGTACACTCACATACATGCAGGCAAAACACTCATACATGTAAAATAAAATTTTTATGTATATTTTTTATCTTTTTGAGGCAGGGTCTCTCTATAGCCTTAGCTGGTCTAGAACTTACTATGTACTATGTACTGTGCAGGCTAGCCTTGAATTCACAGAGATTCGCATGCCTCTGCCTCTGGAGTGCTGGGATTAATTGAAGGCTTGCACCAGCATGCCCAGCTAATAACATTTTTTTCATAAAAAACACAAATGTTTTTAAAAAGCTGGATGTGCCAGGCATGGGGAACTCCACTGCTATGCAAATAAGAGGCTCTCTCCTGTTCCAAATTTGCTTCTTGGAAATTATGGGAGACAATGTCTTTAAGTATTCCTAAGTATTTGCTATAGAAATATAATGAGAAAAATGTCAAAACATGGAACTAGTTTCCTCTTTGTACATTTACAATTTGTATGAATTGAGATCATAGAGGAATTATTATTTTAAATTATGTTTGCTCCTTTTACTTATCCTGTTATACCATTCGTTCATCCTTAATTGACGATCTGTCTGGTGTGGGACTCCAGGTCACAGGAATGCAGGAAAACAAGTTTCCTTCCCTCAAAGTTCTTAGTTCATGGTAATAATCACATCATAGCAAAACAGCCAGTTACATGTGGTAAATGGTTAAAAAGTGTGTGTAAAGGATATAGTTGTTGTGAGACAAGGTCTCACTGTGTCGCCCTGGCTGGTGTACAACTCATAGCCCACCTAGCTGGCCACAAACTCAACAGGGATCTGCCTACCTCTCCCTCCATATTGCTGGGATTAAAAGTGCTCCACCATGCCAATCAAAGGGTCTATTTGAAAAAAACAAGGGGCTGGAGAGATGGCTTAGTGGTTAAAAGCACTGACTGCTCTTGCAGAGGACATGGATTCAGTTCCCAGCACCCACATGACAGCTAACAACCCTCTAATAACTCCAGTTCCAGGGGTTCTGACACCCTCTTCTGCCCTTCATGGGCATTACATGACACTGGTACACTTACATACATGCAGGCAATACACTTGTACAGAAAAAAATAAAGCTAAATAAATAAATAAATAAATAAATAAATAATAAAGGGGCTAGAGAGATGGCTTAGCAGTTAAGAGCACTGACTGCTCTTGCAGAGAACCTGGGTTCAATTCCCATCACCCACGTGGTGGCTACGAACCGTCCTTAACTCCAGTTCCAGGGAAATCGGAAGCCCTCTTTTGACCTCTGGCATTGCACGACACAGGTGCACTCACATACATGCAGGGAATACACTCATACACATAAAATTAAAAATAAATAAATAGAGCCCAGCGTGGTGATGCACGCCTTTGATCCCAGCACTGGGGAGGCAGAGGCAGGCTGATCTCTGTGAGTTCAGTGTGAGTTCAGGGACAGCTGGGGCTACAGGGAGACCCTGTCTCAAAAAGACTAATAAATAAATAAATAAATAAATAAATAAATAAATAAATAAATAAAACATTTTTAAAAAATTAAAACTGTCATATCATTAAAACAGGCTAAAAGTTCGTAACAATGCTGGGAGAGAAGGTAAGACTGAAATTCTTTTTTCGTCTTTTTGAGACAGGGTCTCCCTGTAGCCCCAGCTGTCCTGGAACTCACTATGTAGACCAGGCTGGCCTTGAATTCACAGAGATCTGCCTGCCTCTGCCTCCTGAGTGCTGGGATTAAAGGTGTGCGCCACCACACCCGGCAAGACTGAAATTCTTTTAACAAAATAATTTAAGGCCAAGCATGGCTCATGCTCTCGTATGTCCTGCCCTTGGAGGATTAGCATGAGTTAGAGATGAACCTTGTCTACACAGTGAGATTCTGTCTCAAAAATTAAAGAGATGGTTCAGCAGCTTAGAGCATTCACTACTCTTTCAGTGGCCCCAGGTTCAATTCCCTGCATGTACATTGAAGCTGACAACTGTCAGTAACTCCAGCTCCAGAAGATCCAGTGCCCTCTACTGACCTCCAAGGGTATTGCCTACACTGGTGCATTTAACATTGTCATGCATTAAAACACTCCTACACATAGAAAAACAATAATAAATGAATCAAAAAATAATTTTTTTTAAATCAGGTGTGTTTCGGGGCATTGGTAGAGCACGCCTTTAATCCCAGAGGCAGGCGGATCTCTGTGAGTTCAAGGCCAGCCTGGTCTACATAGTTCCAGGACAGCTGGAGCTACAAGGAGACCTTGTATCAAAAAGACCCCCCCCAAAAAAAAAAAATCAGGTGTGGTAGTGCATGTCTGTAAACCCAGCATTTTTGAGGTCAAGGTAGAAGGCAAGAGCTCAAGGTCATCCTCAACTACATTGTAAGCATGAAACCATCCTAGGCTGCATGAGAACTTGTCTTAAAAAGCCATCTTCCTCCCCGCAAAATGAAGAAATGAATAAATAGAATTTTGAGCCAGGTGTGCACTCAGGAGGCCAGCCTGGGCTTCATGGTTCCAGACTAGCCTGGGCTACGTAATGAGAGCGTATCTCATAAAACAAAATAAATAAATTAAATGGATGTTTTGAACGTGTAATTCTTTACCATGTTTTGTCTGTGGCTGAGAACAGGATGTGAGATAATCTGCTTATTTGCTGTTTGGATCATGAGGTCTTTTAGTTGATGCTGATTATCACTGCCGTGTAAACGCTGCTTTTACAAATGGTCTTTTGAATTAGTTTAGTGTTTTAGTGAGGTGCTTTCAGTGACAGCTGCTAAATGTCCTTGTGTGAAAAACAAAAGCCGTCTTGTGGTAGATGGAAATTAAATGGGCCACTGTTGATGCTTGTACAATAGTGGGGGTGGGCAGGAGGAAGACTCCTGGAGCTAAATCAGAAATGACTGGGATTTTCCTCTAGGTCAGTGGACCCTGTTTTGTCCTATACTGGGATCACATAAGAATTTTATTTTTAAATGTTGGTGCCGCTGGGCATGGTGGCACATGCCTGCAACCCCAGACTGAGTCGTGAGGATTAAGAGTTCCAAACAAACCTGGGCAATATAGCAAAACATTGTTTCAAGAAAACCAATGATAATAATAACATCAACAGCTAATGATAATAGCAATGCTGAGGTTTCTCTTAAATTATGAAGGGTACAGCATGGTGTCGAATTTTCTCTAGCTTCTCCTGTAATATGAATGCAGTGTCCTGCCCTAGGCAGTGAGAACTTGAACTTCTTAAATACTCGGTGTAGTCAATGTTAGCATTGGCAAGATTAGCACCTAAAATTAATAAGACAAATCTTTTGACTTGGTAAGCTTGGAAAGGAACGTTCACCTTAAAAACGGGCTAGAGAGATGGCTCAGCAGTTAAGAGCACTGCCTGCTCTTGCAGAGGACCAAGGTTCGATTCCCGGCACCCACATGGCAGCTAACAACTGTCTGTAACTCCAATTCCAGGGGATCCAACACCGTCTTCTGACTTCCCCAGGCATTGCATGACATGGGTACACTTACATGCAGGCAGTACAATCGTACACATTAAATAAAAATAATAATAATATAAAATAAATAAATCCCAGTATTTGAGAGGCAGAGGCAGGGGAATCTCTAAAATCAAGGCCAGCCTGGTCTACATAGTGAGTTCCAGGCCAGCTGGGGCTACAGAGGGACCCTGTCTCAAAAATACCTAAATTAATAAATACACATCTTTCTTTGTATACACACACAAAATATGCCTGGAAATCTGTTAATCAAAATGTCAGGGGGCATTTTATCTATGACTGATTTCTGATTTTGCTCTGAGTTTCTGCCTTATTTCAAGTTTGTCTTTGTTCTCACTGCACATGTATTCAGTTATTAAGTAGTAAAGTAGTGTGGCTGATAACCTTACGGAGAGCATCCACAAGCATTTGATTGACTCCGCTCCTGCTGTTGCTATGGCAGCAGTTGGAGGAGCAGCATGCTGCAGCCATTCTTTCTGGTCTTATTTCTAGGCATTAGGTGAACTCTGTGAAACCAAGTTTGGGAAGACGCACCCTATGTGCAATTTGGTAAGTGCCTGCCTGCTGAGCCCATACTGTCTGAGTCTGTGACAATACAGAGGTCAGTTCTTTTTTTTTTTTAAATATATCATTCATTATTTTTATTTTATGTGTATGAGTGTATTTTCTGCATGTGTGTAAGTGCACCCATGTCGTGCGTTGCCCAAAGAGCCAGAAGAAGGCATCAGATCCCCTGTAACTGGAGTTACAGACGATTGTTAGTGCCATGTGGGTGCTGGGAATCAAACCTGGGTCTTCTGCAAGAGTAGTCAGTTCTCTTAACTGCTGAGCCATCTCTCCAGCCCCGAAGAGGCCATTTTTAAAGTACTATCAGTGAAGCTGGGCGTGGTGGTTACAGGGAGACCCTGTCTCAGAAAGAAAAAAAAAAAAAGTAGTATCAGTGAAAGACATTTGAATGTAGAGGCAGCATGTGGCTGGGTGGGTGGGGAGGGCAATGCTTAGCTGATAAATTGTTGTTATATGTGGTATTTCCTGTGATGAAGTGTTTCACTCGCCTATGATTTTTCTGGGGTGTGATTTTTATACAAGTAGACTACAAGCGCTGTGGGAGAATGTACTCCTGTTCTTTGGATAGTGTCAGAACAGTTCTTTTGAATCCCACTCAGGAGTATCTTGAGCGATTATAGGCAGTTAGTGGTTGCTGCAAGAGTCATGTTCCTCAGAGCCGTCCCCATTGGTAAGGTGAGTAATGCCCATGGCACTAACGCAAGCAACCTGAATTAGATGCAGTGGGTCACAAAATAGACAGGAAGGTAGGAGAGAGGCTTGTGGGATAAGACAGGATAATGGGAGAGAAAAGAGTATCTTGAGCTATGAAAATTCAGAGTATCTAATAGCTGTGGAGTTGTTGGAGGATGCCCTCTGTCTGAGTTGAGAAAATATCAGAAGGATTCTCACCTGTCTGTGCCTTATTGGGGTGCTAGGTGACAGAACTGTGCTGGTGGCCAGAACCACCCATGTGGCTGCTTGCTGAATGCTCCGAGTGCCTCTTCACCAGCCTGACTGGTCTCTTCCATGTCATGCCTAGGTTGCGTCTTTGCCCTTGTGGTTGCCGAAGTCCTTAAGCCCTGGTTCTGGGCGGGAACTGCAGAGACTGTCCTACTTGGGGGCCTTTTTTAGCTTCTCAGTCTTCGCAGAAGATGATGTGAGTACTGGGGCTGTGCCTACTTGCTGCTCCTCTTCGGTCCTTCCCAGATGGCCGCAGTATACTGATTGAACGTTTCCTTCCTTTCCAGGCAAAAGTGGTTGAGAAATATTTCTCAGGGCCTGCCATTACCCTGGAAAACACCCGCGTGGTTAGCCAATCACTGCAGCATTACTTGGAGCTTGGAAGGGTAGGTGTTCAGAGGATAGGGGAAGAAGCCTTAGAAGCCTTAGGGGCATTGTGGTCTGGGTCCTGCCCTCTCTCCAGCTTGCCTGTAGCGTTGATATGAGGCCTTGCCGAAGCACTGATCCCATGTGTTCTTGGTGAATCTTCACTTCTAAGTTGTGAAAGTGGGGAAAGTGTGGGCTTGGTTATCAGGGTCAGTTGGTCAGGGAAGGAGGTAAGAAAGGCCATTTCATTAAAGGTGTGCCTGCTTCCTCTGCCCACCATACCACTTTACTCCCTGGTCCTCGTGGGCATGGGCACGCAGTTCTCTGTGCCAGCTGTCATCAGGTTCCCCGGAATGAGTGGAAGAGGAAGGTGGAAAGTGGGCCAGCCCTTCTTCACATCAAAACCCATTAACTTTGTTTTTAAAAATAATTCAGCAAGAGCTTTTCAAGGTTCTACACAGTATTTTGTTAAACGGCGAGACCCGTGAAGCAGCTCTCAGTTACATGGCAGCCATCGTCAATGCCAATATGAAGAAAGCGCAGATGCAGGTAGGATTCCCCAAACGGCTGCAGTTGTTAAGTCTGTTTAGTGAGGACGTAAGTCAGCACCTCTCACTTGTGTTGTGGAGATCTGGAAAACAGCACTGAATAAGACAGGTGAGCCTCCTGCTTGTATGGAGCTTGTATTCTTGGGTAGGGGCTAGGCACATAAATACATCCTAGTATTAACTAACACCTTAATGTTATTATCCATGCAGGGCTGCTAATTGTTTAAGCTGAAGAAACTGCCATGTGGTCACAAGAGGAACTAGTTCTGGAGTTTTTATATACAGAATGTTTCACAATGTGGGTGTTGTCCTTGCACAGGGACCATGCTAATCTTCTCCGTAACTGTCTAGCTTAGTATATGTGCTGCTGAATTGAGTGCTCTTGAGTGTTTTGAGGGGAGAAAAGGAAGAGAGAGGAAGCCACATTGGTTGTGGTTTTGCATACTAACTTTGAAGTTGGGGGAAATCCACTTAAATTCTCTGAGCTTCAGTTCTCTGTGACATGTGAACTGGATCCTGCCAACCCTAGGTCATAGTGGCCAGTGCTCAGTTGGCTAGCACATGCTGTAGGATGACAGTGGCCACCACACACATCGTGCCACTCTTTAGAATATGGTGGTGTTCGAATGCTCCACCTACTTTCATAGAAGCTTGTGCCAAAATTTGTGGTCAAGTCCTTGTTTTAAATGCTTTTCTTTGTACCTCACAGGCAGACGATAGACTGGTGTGTACAGATGGATTTATGCTGAATTTCCTTTGGGTACTGCAGCAGCTAAGTACAAAAATCAAGTTAGAAACAGTTGATCCCACGTATATATTCCACCCAAGATGTCGGATTGCTCTCCCAAATGACGAAACACGGGTGAATGCAACTATGGAGGATGTGAACGACTGGCTGGCTGAGCTCTGTGAGTGGCATGTTCATTGTTAGGTCACCTCCCTTATCTGGACGAACCTGTGAGACAGATATGCACCTAAAATTAATGCAGTAAAAAGTTCTTGTTTGAATTATCCAACACAGATACATAAAACAAATGAGTGGAGGAAAGAAAGAGAAATAATAACACCAACTTATTGTATAATCTTACACATATATAATACCAATTAAAATTGTCATGCACTATTTCACAGATGAATGAATGATTTAAAAATTGGAATATTTTAGCCGGGCGTGGTGGCGCACACCTGTAGTCCCAGCACTTGGGAGGCAGAGGCAGGCAGATCTCTGTGAGTTCAAGGCCAGCCTGGTCTACATAGTGAGTTCCAGGACAGGTGGGGCTACAGGGAGACCCTGTCTCAAAAAGACA